GGGGGGGGGGGGGGGGGGGGGGGGGGGGGGGGGGGGGGGGGGGGGGGGGGGGGGGGGGGGGGCGTGCTCATGTTTTGCATGCCTTAGCCCACGCCCCACGCTTCCTCGAGAGGACGGACGGAGCATGATTCCCGCAGGACCCATCACCGATGGTCAAGGAAGGGGGTGGGGTGGTGGGGGGGCGGGGTTACAGCTGTTACGTAGACTTGAAGCAGATTGTGCAGTAGATACGAGCGCGGCGATGATGTGCCGGACATACTAGTATGTCTCGGGTACGGGGTGGGTGGGGTGGGTGGGCGCGATGGACAGCAAGAAAGTTCGACTATACCCCGTCAGCAGGGAAGTTTCGCACCCCAAAATTGGCAGATTACCTCCGGAAACAATTGCAAGTGCCGTGCTACGCTCGCCCTAGATAGATTGAGCTTTCGACTCTATTGGTCGTTCGAGAGGCAGGGGCTCGATCTAACACTGCACGTGCCAAGCACATTGCCGGTGCTCGAACAAAGCACCTCTCTGGCGCACAAAAAAAAAAACATCAAGTGATATTGTATTTGAAGACGCAGCAAACAAAGCAACAAATAGGCAACATGTCTGGTGCGCAAAGAACATCGCAAAAAAGGGTCATCAAGTACGGTAGGAAACAAACACTAACGTTCGCTTGAAGACGCTAGTATCGTCGATCGACTCGATGACCTCGATCTTCGCGAACAGCTCGTCGTATTCCGGGATGCACGAATCGTTCAGCAGGTACGTGAGCACCTCGCGGGGGGGCGCCGTCACCGCCGCCCGGGTGCGAATCATGCACCACACCGTACCCGGCACCGTAGCGCGCCACAGCTTGAGGCCGTCGCTGTCCTTGATGATACGCCAATCCACCTAATAAAATACTCGTTGCAAAACAAAAAACAAAACAAAAACACGTTGGCAGAGGCAACGGCACATACGAGATATTCAAACCTCAGCATTTCACCCAAATTTATCTGCAGACCAGCGATTTAGGTAAAACACGAGCTATTATTGCCGAAGTCACGGGGGTAAGCAACACCCATAATGTCCAGAGGAAAACGCCCTTAGCGACCAGAGAAAATCAGCCTCCGCCCCAAACCGGCCGGAGGCTGAATTTAGACTGCGGCTGAGAACTCCTATTAGTGCACCCCCCCAGGTCCTACGGTGTTTGCCATCGGGGTTGGGTTTTCGTCGCTTGGCAACGACGTTGTGAAACAAGCCAATTCACTTCGTGAACTCGGCAACCAGGTTACCGTTCTTTGTTTTACCTCCGTTTTTATGTTTGGCGGTAACCATGAATGGTGGTCGAGTAGATCATGTTGTGCGGGGTCGAGAA